TGAATTGGGCATGGAAAATAGCACTCTTTTCGGCAAACGATGGGTAGACATACGCAACACCAACTTAGTTTCTGGTGCTGGACGCATTCTTCAATGGACGTACTCGTTGCACAACCGAAAATGCACTTTCTAACTGCCTCATTACGGATTCGCCGACACCAACTCACACGAGCTATGGTTCTGAGACAACGATTATCGAATACCTGAAGACGTCTCAGTTTAACAAGTCTGTCGAAACGAAGAAAGTTTTTACACAGCTGTTTCTTTGGCCAGGGGACGATACACCCTTTTGATGTGAAGATTCTTTTTTTCCAACTGGAAATGTGTTCTAAATGCGAAAATCAACGAAAATGTCTGCTTGCTGATTTCTCATTGGTTCAGTGCTTCGTGTTGTGTACAGTAGAGCAGGATTACATCCCCTGAAGCATCGTCTGCCTAGTCTAGTCGTAATATGCTACTCATAAGGCTGCTGAAAACTCTTTGACAGCCCACGACCAGTTTTGCTCTTTCTGGGGCTCATCAGGTAGGCGTAGTCCCCGAATTTTAGTCAACTTACGTTTTACTTGAACCCATCCTAAACGAGGGATTTGAGTGAATTCAGTTGAGTCTCCTGTCAAATCCGAATCGTGTGCAAATCAGAGTATTTATTCAGGTTGTCTACATACTTCTATCTGCTTATACTTGTTTTCTGAACCTATTGGAGGACAAACAATTTGATTTAAACAAAGAACCCGACAGTTCGGGTTCTTCTCATATGTGCTTGTTGGCTTGTATTACTTGAACTGTCTGGACATTTCTGAGTAACACTCGTATACTTGTATTCTCGTCCGTGATCATATCACGTGATTTTTTCCCCGTGATTACGATAGAACAGAATACTGAAATAGTATGAGTTCAACGTGAGTCTCATTTGTCACTTGCATCAAGCAAGTTGTCTGGCTAGTCAGAGTCAAAACGGATGTTTGTTCTACTCAGACGCGTGTATGCAACCCTCCCCTCCCTCTCTCCGGCCCCAAAAGGCAGACATACAATCTGTCCCTCCTTGGCAGACAATAGTCTGTACTGGCGCGGCACACTTTCAACTTAGGACACTGTTACCAGTACCTCGTGTGCAAATCAGAGTATTTATTCAGGTTGTCTACGTACTTCTAGCCGCTTATACTTGTTTTCTGAACCTATTAGAGGACATACAATTTAATTTGAACAAAAAACCCGATTGTTCGGATCATTTTATCTTCTCATATGTGCTTGTTGTTGGCTTGTATTACTTGAACTGTCTGGCCATCCCTGAGTAACACTCGTATACTTGTATTCTCGTCCGTGATCAAATCACGTGATTTTTTCCCTGTGATTACGATAGAACAGAATACTGAAATAGTATGAGTTCAACGTGAGTCTCATTTGTCACTTGCATCAAGCAAGTTGTCTGGCTAGTCAGAGTCAAAACGGATGTTTGTTCTACTCAGACGCGTGTATGCAACCCTCCCCTCCCTCTCTCCGACCCCAAAAGGCAGACATACAATCTGTCCCTCCTTGGCAGACAATAGTCTGTACTGGCGCGGCAAACTTTCAACTTAGGACACTGTTACCAGTACCATCGTTCTTACCGTCAAGGCTGTCAACCGTGAACGCTTGTTAGTGCGTTGGATGGGGCGGGCTGGTGGTGAGGTAAGGTAACTAATCAACCCGTATCTTATTGGCGCACTTTCAACTGGGACTTTTCCCTAACAGATTGATCGAAATAAGTTGAGTCCGGGAGGCATTTCTTTTCGGCGGGAATTATCCTCCGGAGCTAGCTGGAGCCGGGAAAAACGAACACTACCTACTCGTGGATACGCCTTTTCTCGCTCCCATCGTCCTAAGTCTGCGACATTCCATCGGCTTTATGCGGCAAATAATTCATGCCGATATTGGGCATATAGTTTCAACTCTGTCTGGGTTTTTTTTGTCACGTGGCTCTGGAAGGGTCCATGTTGCTCCGTTTGGAGCGAGTTTGGCGTTCGGCATTATTTTCCGCGATTCCTCCACTTCGCTTTTTCTCTGTATCTAATGTGTAATTTTCCGACTCAGATGAACGGCACTGGAGGACCCGGTTATGTGGATTCTGGCATGCAAACTGCTGATGCGAGCACCCAGGGTGCTGAAGGCAGTCCCGCTGGTGGTGGCAGTCACCGCCACCATCGTCGAAGACGTCGCAAACAGCCACGTCATCCATCTGATCTACAAAATGGAACAAATGGAAACACAACGAACGACTCCGCGGATGCAGCGGGCGAGGTGTCCCAGTTCGTGGAACAAGCCGGTACCACTCAACCAGATGACCGTCGCCAGATGGTAAATTAGCTCTTCCACTGTATACTTTCTGCTAATCTCACCATCATCGTTGGACCAGCGAACTTGTCCATGCTCCATTCACTTGTCACAGACCACACTGATGGATAAAATTTAGTGTTGGCTGATAGATCTAGTTTTGCCTTGTCCATGAACATTGTATATGCGAAGACCTTCAGCTGTCATCCACCTGAAGTCGCTCAGAACGAGCCAAAACAATTCACACTTACTGCCCGTGTATCTTGCAGCTGTGGCTAATGGAAACGGCATCGTAGAGTTGAATGCACTCTACTGGACTAGAGTCCAGTAAACTGTCGTTTTATACTGCCAAATTGATTGTGGCAACCCAATTCGGCTAACCTTTTTTACTCGTCAAGCCTACTCACATACCGATAGACTTTGATCCTGCATTCGTTGAGCTGGAAGCTCGGACATTGCGATTCTGGCGGTTGTTGTAAGCTCCCGAGTGAACCATTTAAGTCCTCAACAAACACTAGTTGTCGATTTGATGTCAGCGCTCGCCACGCTGGAAACTGGAAGGGAACCCCTCATGTACTAGTTATTTGTCCCTAAATTGCACCATATTTTGGCACACTGATAAGTGGAAACCAATAGCTGTAAGTTGGTCGGACTCAAAATTGATTCAAATGGCTATTAGTTACCGCATGGGTACATACATGCCTTAACCCCGACCACTATCCGAGCACAAGATTGCATGGGTCAATGAAGGGCTACTCGTTATGTCACTTACAGCACGTTTGTGTAACTTTCTGATGCCGAGTTGTGCTTACTCTTACTGCGTCGAGAGCAAACCCACGGAAGTCGCTTTCACTATGAAGGAGTCCTTCCTTTCAGCTTTACCGTTATCTGCTCCAGTTTAGTAAAACAGCACCGTCCAGAAAAACCTTGCTAGCATAGGGGACTCATCAGATGCCGAGTATTACTGAATCGACAAGACAACAGGTGTTTCTTTATATTACGCAATGTTAGGGGACGGTCCGACCGAACAATATACCTTGAAATTTACTATCTTTCCTTAGTTTGAGCAAGAGCAACTACCCGGGCAGAAACACCAATACTCCATGTCAAATGCAGGCACATATTCCGATGCGGACCCAATGTCAGCGCAACCAAGTTTCACGTCCCAGTCTTATCATCAAGCTATGAATGCCTCCGACCCCAATCGGACCAACTGTATGCGTTATGGTGAGTTCTATCGTTTCTTCTTAGAGCTAATGCAGTCAGGAATCGCATGTTCGCGGCTTTTTTCAAAATCGTCATCAGTTCCTGTTTCCCTAGCGCTCTAGTTCAAAGTTCTGAGTGTTGTCAGCATCTCTGGTGTGTCCTCGACTTTTGTACTCAAATTGGAGACCAGTTCACTGCGAATTACGCATCAAAAACAGGCGTACGAAATACGTTCAGAACATTTCGAAACGTTTGATTTTTCTAGTAGCTTCCGGTGCACCCATTTTAATATTGCATTGATTAGACTGACTGCACCTACCTAAAAAAAAACAGGTGACAGGTCACGAGTCCACGGCGCTGATGAGCAATCTTTGTCCGGCCAACCTATTCTGTATGATGTAATTGGCTTGCTGGAACTCATTTTGGCCAGTGAGCGGATAGCACAGCCGATAACTCGTTTGGTGAATATGAAACCGTGTCTGATTTACCAGTTATGGTCTACCCTTTCATCAGTTTGCATTGCGTAGTTCGTTCTTGGCCTCGGCCACCAGTATGCAAACACCCTGGGTGGGGGTGGCGGGGCACCAAATTTATGTGATGTGATTCTATTCATTGGTTTCATTCATTACTGTCAGTCGTCCCATTATACTACAAAGTCACCTTGCCACCTGGGTAGTCTCTTTTCCCATGGCTTTCACTGTGGACACTTTTAGGAACATTGTACAGGCATCCCATACAGTAGTCTTCCTCTTGAGGGGGACCACCTCCGTACGCGGTTTCCTAAGGGTTGGCTTGAACCACTCATCAACTCCAAGCGAAAACCACTCGGCACTTCCCCCAAAGACGGATTCCCACCCAACCAACAGAGTGTGGATTTCGTTCACTGACAAGCGCCACCCACTCGACTAACTATGCGGCAGCCAAGTTTGTTCCCCAGCTGATTGGAATCCTCAAGGACAAAATTGTCCCTCCCATGAGGGAGCGTAAAGGAGGGATTTCTCAACATCAACAACAAAGTAGTTATCAACAAAGGAGTTGACGCCACTCGGAACGGATTACTTTCGATTAGCCTTTGTGGGTGTTGTGTCTTGCTATATCAGTCCCTTGGCTTCCTGCTCCGCGCACTACGTTATATATATCAAAAGACGGCAGCTCTACACAGCCCTTTAAGGAGACAAAGAAAAATTATTACAACTGTATTTATAGGGTAATCACAGGTGTTCCACAAGGTCGTGCTAGAATCTCCGTGAGAGGGGGAGAAGCGTCGAGTCAAAGGTGCTCGATCCGGATTGGCTGGCAGCCAAGCAGGACATCCCACCTACTCACTTCACCTTTTCCAGGAACGCCGCAATCTCTGTTCGCTGGACACAAACTCAATTGAAGTTTTGTTGTTACCGACCGTTTGCCGAAGGCCTTGTATAACTGGCCTTCGTATTGGTAAATGATAGTTGTTCGGCTACTCTTATATCAGGTCACGCCATGGTTTCCGACCGGCCGTCTGAAAAGATGCCTTCCGTATGTTAGACGATAAGTGACAACAGCGTTTTTTCGACCCGCCCGCACAACACGTCCAATCAACCTTGATCGATCAATCCAATTATCAGACCGACGTCATCCAGCATTGCGCCTAACAGTGGATCCTTAAGTTCACTCCGAACTTTTGTCCATCAGCTTGACCATATTTGTGTGCGAACAGTTTGGCACGCAAGCTAGTGGATCATCAAGTAATTCCGTTTGTCGGAGCATGTTCATGACCGACGGTATGCAGCGGCAACCACAAAGTATATCAAACAAAAGGAACGGTTTTTTTCCAATTGGATCTCTCACCTTGTGCGTTCAAATCGTTTGCCTACGATCGCTTGGTGTTCGATCATGTTCTCGTGACTTCACTCTTGGGTCGTTCCATTGTGTGGGGAATAATACGTATATTCACCTGTCGAAAGTTATCCTCTTCACACGATCCGGAAACCATGGTGCCAACGAATTTCGATTTGTGCTTCACACTACCGAATCCCGGCGTTTTACTGGATATTCACCCGGATTGTCCTCAGCGAGGTATTAGCTAGTGTTCTGCCTCGAGGGTGACGAACCCACAAAGCTACAGCGATCTGTCAGTGAAAATTGAATTAAGCGGACCCCGCTTTTACTGTAAGAACACCGTCCTGATCACCAAAAAGGTTTATACCAACTACGAACCCAGTGTCGCTTATTCGGCAAGAAGTTAAGGTGTAAAGCGGAAAGACAACAGCTCCTGGGGGCCACAGTGAACTGTGTGGGTGTGCGGTGTGACAGACCCTTCACTACCGGCTAAACGCCGACCGAAAATTCAGTCACTACATGATTGACAGTTATGGGCTGCTCAATATGACAATGGCATGCCAACTGAAGACCGATTCAAGTTACAGGTCGGCTTCTCGTCTTCGTCACTCTCATCCATGTAACGCACCATCTGATGAAAAGTGCTTTCCTCACAGTCCCTGTTACGCACGCACTCAAAGCCTTGCAAGCGCTGTTCATCTCGCTCAGTCAATAGACAATCCGACTGAGTGAAACCGGTAAAAGCTGATTAGTCACTGTGGTTTCATTGATGAATGTAACTTGTTTGTCCTTCCTTCAGCTAATTAGGCCTATGGGACGGTCAGTTAGTTGTTTGCGTCGCATCTAGTTAAATCTATTAGTGTGGGGTGTACATTTCAATAGACGGCTTAACTTTTTCCTGCATTATTCCATTCACCAATCATTGAAACGAACCGGTAAAACTACCATACAGTAAATGTGGTACCGGAACACCATTCGGTCGTAGCTGGACGCAATAAACACCGACGTGTCCGGTCCGGCGTGCTCAGTGCGTGGACTGACGGTTACCGACACCAGTAGGTTTGCTAGTGGACACTTCCATGCTTAGCTCCCTCGTATCGTTTTCTAAACGCTTACTCCCATATAGGGTAATTGAACAGACGTCTCCGTACGAGGGGAACACGGCTGATTCCGCGTATTCTGCGGTATATAACCTATGCTCGTTTCCCTTAGTCACCTGTTCTGAGCCCCGGGTCTTTCTAGTCCACTTCAGTAGACGATACACCGATGTGTATTAGTCTGCTGCGTGGCTGAAAGAGAACACCCGCTGAAACGGCACAGCGGTGCAGCATGAGTCTATACAGCTCCACTTTCTCACAGGGAGTTTTTGTGGAGAAAGATGTCTGATTTTGTAAATGTCCCTCATACGAAACGTTTAGTGCTTTGTGGAACCCATCGGACTAGAGTTAGCCCTTTTCTCACTAGTTTTAGATCACCTGTCAAGTGACCTGCTTGAGCAGGTTGAAAATTCATTTTGTTTCTGTCCGGAGACCAGCCGTCCCTAATAACCGAACATCACATCATTTGGACGGATGTGTCACGTGCAGGACATGGACCAAACGAAGGCATGCTCTGATTGGTCAGAATATCAGCCAATCCGGATCGAGCACTTTTGACACGATGCTTCTCGCCCTCTCGCAGATTCTAGCACGAACATGTGGAACACCTTGTGGTTACCCCATGAATAATTTTTTTTGTCATAAAGGGCTCCATAAAGGGCTGTGTAGAGCTACCGTGCCTTCTATATGACTTTCTGTGGGGAACTCTAGCATTGTTTCTTCTGCTTCCACATCACACTGAGGATATTGTTCATCATCTTTTACAAAGCCCTCAACGCTGAGCTTCCTAAAGTCAGTACATTAGCACCCCTTCTATTTGAAGGCGTGGAATTCTACAGTATTATCTATTTGTCGCTCTTCTTGTTCGTTTCTGTCTGTCTTCACAGGTTTCAGCTTTCTTCTCTTTTGTTTGCCACAGACTCTCCTCAGCGTGAACAACTGATGTCAGGACACCAAATGCCCCCACCGAATCAACCACCTCCACCACCACCAGCAGTTGCTTTGGGACTCGGTTCACCCAGTGTGATGAACGGCCATTACCAACAAAATTCTTCTTCTTATCCGATCAACAATCAGGCACAGTCACCAGGGGCTGGTGATTCTGTATCTCGCCGAATGTACTCAGGCGCTCCCGGGGCTGCCGGGCTACTTGTTGGTCCACCTCCTCGAATTCGAGACTATTCGGAGTATGGAATTCTCCGGGGTGTTGGACTTCCACCCACCCCTTCTGGAGGTCAACCGCAACCTCCACAACACAATGTCCTTATGGGAAATTCGGCCGTGACGAATGCTTCGGCCCATGTGAATGGGACAATGATGTATGAAGGACGATATCGTGAGGGCCAAGCTTGAATCCGTGGCACAGCAAGGGCGTCTGTATATCCCCCCTAACCTTTTTGTGTCTATTGACTTTTGGTCATATTCTGGCCAGTTTCAAGACGTTTCCTATTCTCAATTTCCTCTCGTGTTTATTTGCCACGCTGCATGCAACGGCCAACGAATGAACAGTCCTATCCCGCTCCTAAATACCTGACAAACAGAAGTGCTTCTATTATTGCCATTATTCCGTACAGGCTTTCGAATAATATACATGTATGCATCATATTCATGCCTATGGTCACAGTTTATCTTCGCATTTTTCAAACTTAGACAGTCGAACCACACAACACGCGTGTGTTATTTGGTTCCCCATGTTTTTGTCCCACTTTTTGGTTCGTGTCACCAATGTCACTCGGTTTTGTCGTTATTTTATCGATCGTCTGTTCTTCATCAAAAGGTGGTCTCGTGATCAGACAGAGACCTGTGTACAGCTGATTTACTATGGGTACGCGTTTTGTTTTCTTTGTTTGTTTGAATGATCTCTCTCACCACCGACTTCCTAATAGAGTTGATCCCGACGATACTGCTAATCTCATCACACTTTGTATGCCCCAACTACCGTAAATTGTGTTTTTGCTACTCGTTCCCTGTCCACGATTCGCATTTGATTTCTCTCTCTCTCTCTCTCTCTGGGTTTTTATGCTAAGATTGCACGCTTGCAGGGAGCGTAATTTCGTCAGTTTGTGTTCATCCTGTATCCCTCTCCCTACGCGCACCCACTTTGGGCTTCTAATGGTATATAGTCTTTGCCTTACCGGTTTTCGGATCTGACCTTATTGCTTGCTTGCGTATTGCTTGCGTGATTACTCGCTGACTTTTTTATAGTAATACTATCACCACAACAACTCATTCAGTGCATGAAACATTACACAATTATGGTTCGATTTCACTGGGTTCTCACTGAGTTCCACTCGATTGTGGAAGAGGCACGTAAAGATTCCATTCAATTCAATTATCACTTATAAACCATGTATCATGGGTACATTGGTTCCAGCCGCTACGGTTTCAATCATCGAAAAGTGGGCGATGCAACTAAGCCGGTCATGTTCAGTTAGTTCGGGAACTGGGTAGCTACGCATTGGAGGCGATAGCTTCGGTGCACGAGTGCCACTGATTGCACAATTTGGTCATTCCTGTCAGTGTCATTAACCCTTGATGAGTTGAGTCCCAGGGTCCCCATCCAAGGAGGCTACGGCTGTCGACAAAGTTTACTCGTTAGTGTTTCTATCCTTGCCATGTCATGCTCCGTCCACTTCTCGGTCGGTGTGTGCTTCCAGTGAGCTCAGGGCTGAGCAAAACGTGATCTACGGGGTAGACAGTTTTCTGGCATGCGGACTACATGTCCTCAGCATCGTAACCTATGAAGCGTGAGTAACTCACCCATCCTGGAAGAGTTCCTTCTTCCCAAGACCATATTGCATACCTCAGCATTGCTAATCCGATGGTCCCACCAAACCCAACCAATGCTTCGGGGACACCGATGGTCAAACACTGACGTCATTCGTATGTCCTCTGCGCGTAGAGATCATGTTTCTAATCTATAAAGCAGTGTGGATCGCAGTGCCACATTGTGAACTCTGCTCCTGACAGGAAGGTACGTCACGCAGGTGGCATAAATATCAGAGGTTGGCAAAAACTGCTCTGCCTTACCGATTCGAGCAGAACATGTGAAACTACCCAAGTGAAAAATTTGTATACCAGGTCGACTGACTCATCTGCAAGCTCGAGGTCCCACCCAGTCTTGTGCAAGCACTTTGAACTTTACAGGTATGAAGCGTTTGCCAAACCGTGCGACAGGCATGAGAAGAACCACTACCCAGACAGTACAGTCGTTAGACACTTGTCTGCGGGTCCTCATCTTCTGTTGTACATTTGTCTGAAGGAAGTAAACATGGTATCGATTGCAAGTTGGCTGAAATCGATACATTATTGATCCAGATGGAAATGGTTGCAAACCACAGCGATAGGTCTGTCAGCTTTGGAAATGTTCAAACGAAAGGTTGGGTACCGTCCCATCTAACTTTCGATGCCTATGCTCCGTTACTAAAATAGCTCGGTTAACAACCGTATCTTGTATCGATTGATCCTTTACAGGGTTACATACAATATAGATTAGTCTACGGTCTAGTTGAGCAGGAAGGCGATCTACTACGTGACTGGTTATTTGCATTTTCACGAATAGACTGATCGATCCCTGGCTATACATTAGCTATTGTGTTGACATCCTCAACAAGGGACAACAGCCTGGTTCTAACATCCGGGGGTCTTTTAGAATGAGTCCAAACACGAAACGGCAATCGATCGATACATTTATCCTACTGGACGCGAAAAACTTTCAAGTATTCCCAATAATCAGTCAGAGACGCTTGATTTTTAAAGACTTTGGTGATCGCTATCTGTTGGTAGCACTAAAACTGTTCATCTTCACGGTTTATTCTTAAGGTGAAGCATGGTAACTGCGTTAGCAGCCGGAACATAATTGCCTACACGCTCACATTCAGAAGTGATGACGGAGATACTGAGCAGAAACAGCTCGGCGACGCAGGTCCCTTTTGGGAGAAGTGCTGCGGTCTTACGGGACTGTGTTCAGTGTCTATTGCCTGGGTGAATGTGAAGATATATCAACGAGGAGCTCCGAGATGTCCTTCAAAGCGGTGTGGACCTTATTGGGAAAATTTAGTGTGGTACACTCAACCCTACTGCAGCCGCCCACTCAACTTAACTTTGGAATGAGACCGTTCTACCTCTGAACAGTTACCGAATATGTGTTTACTGTTGAGGGTGAACGTACTCACATGTAGATATCTCACAAATCAAAAGAACGTTTCGAAATATGCACAAAATCGTCTGTTATGCCGAGAAAGTAACGCGCCCTCTATTTCTCTGTTAAATGCAGTAATCGACATTTGAGTTTTGTCATTAACCCGTGGTTTTCACATCACATCCCCTGATGCAAATACACGCACCTCATCAAGGTGAGACGTCCACCAAATGTCCTAGGTTGGTTTTCTGTTCAGATCACTGGTAAACCAATCGAGTTAGTGAATGTTCCATGTAAACCATGGTTTCTAGAGATACGTAGCGTTTGTGGACGTAGTATCGCATCAAACAGCCAGATATTCACTGGATTCCCCCCCCCCTCAAAAAAAAAAAAAACTGAGATGTGTCGTCATTTGTTTGCGTTACTTCTGAATTTACAATTGTTGCCAGACGACTCCTCATTGTCAAATTTGCTATCTTAGCCACCACGACACCACTGGCCATTGCATTCTGTCAGGACGCACCCAGACATGGAAAAAGTACATGTGCAGAGAGTGACGCATCCCCAAGGTCACCATCGGCACGACACGTCCGGAAAGCAGGTGCGTTGGCGGAGCAAACCAAACACGGCTTAGCAACATACGACCAGCGTAGTGTGTTTGAGATTTGTTCACGACCGGAACACCACCATTGCTGTACGGAAGAACGAACAAGTGAACGACCATATTTGGCCAATTAGTCATCCCATATATTTACGCAGACGCTCTGTATGTTTTGTCCTGTCAATATAGCCGTGTCCCAAGTTCTCTGTCTCCTCCCTATCGCGTAGTCTGGCAGGCTCAGTTCAGGCGTAACCATTGACGGCCACCGCAAGTTACAACACATTCATCCCACAGTTTCTTTCCTGAGGTCATGCTGGCGGAACGCAAAACCATCTGGTCGTACAGGTTGGATTTTTTCACAGGACTGAATGTTAATTTTCCAAGTTTCCTGCCAACTCGATCTCTGTAGCATGTGGAACCTTTTCAAAAAAAGGGTTTTTTTATTCCTGTGCATTTAAAATAGGTGAAAAATTCAAGTAGCGCGCTTCCTGTACTGCTTGCTACAGTGTGCCGGCAGGTAAGTATTTGAAGACAGACTTCGAACTGTGAGACGTGCAGAAGCTGTAACTAGGCTTGATGCACAGCGAATAAAGAGGGCATTCCAGTACTTATGCCTTGTAGAGTGAGTATCCAGAAAACGGAATACGTGAACGTTCAAGGAGAGAGGCGTTAGCAGTAACATGTTCCCCTTTACCCATCCTGTTGTACGTAGCGAGGTGACCCGCGACACCCGATATTACCAGTTGTGAGGTTCATGGTTGTGCGCAGGCAGGGATACAGTCAGGACATACGTACTTGGGTGAGAAGACGGTCAGTGTCCTCGAAGGCCTGACCTCCAGGCAGCTAGTGGGTGCCAGTTTACCATCAACCTAGTAAACGTGCTTTAAAGAACAAGTCGCCGTGACTGTTCTAATCCCAGACTGGAGATCCAGGACTGTTCTCGTCTGACCTCTATCCACTGATCAGCCTGGCATGAGAAACGCTGCGGTCATCGAAGTGAAACCCTCTACTAACAATCAGTGGCTTACAGAGGTACACAGACCGTCACACCACGATAGGTTCAGTCTCTTCGCAGAGCCTAAGACGCCTAAACCCAGCATGTGCGACGCAAAGTCGAGGATTTCAAGTGTGGCAGATAGATCATTTGTTATTTATCGTTGCACCTAGCTTGTACTTGGTTACTGTCCTCCACTGTTGATGATGATGATGCATCATTCATGAGACGCAGTAAAATGAAGTGAATTCGGCTATAAGGCAGAAGTGGTCGTCAGTTTGTTGCTATTTCAGGAACGACCATTTTCATCTTAAAAGTATCAATTGTAAATCTCACTGTCCGTGCCTTGGAACGTATCAGATCTTTTCCGACTACCACGAAACGAACAAGTCTAGCCACATACCAGTGGTCACAGACTTATGAACTAAACTATTCCAAATCGATTGCATTCGGTTCACGTTTTGTCCCATCTATCTGGGCTTAAACCTCATCAACGATTCACAAAGACAACGCAAAAAAACGTGTTTCGTGCAACTCACTACCACTTTATGGCTTCAGAATATTGGAATGCCTAGCTTATAAACCTGATCCTGACCCGATTAAGAACCAAAAATGGCAGAGTAGCATGTCCAATGTGCAAAACTACCGCGGTTTGAAATCCAAAAACTAACTATAAACCGGTTTGGTGAAACATCGCTGTACAGAAGGAAAGAAGGAAAGGATGATAACTTACTGTAATCTCATATTTCGTGACACTGACTGTTCACTGTTTTTGTCTTCTTCACTGAATATTTATCCACCGATGCCGAGTGTACCCTTCACAGCACTGGTCGATCGAAAGGTTTTTCGTTCTGCTTCATAGGTTGGAGATTTCATGGAAACATGAGAGGCTGTGTAAATTCGTCGCGGGGCAAATGCTTGCTAGTAGTATCCTTTGCAAAACAAACCACTGCCCGATGTAGATGGCTTTGCTTCGATACTGCGAATTACACACAACATTCAATGCGGAACCTGTTTCTAGCTGTTTCTAGCTTAGTTTTTCAGGATCCATCAATGCAATGCTCGAATTGAAAGGTCCAAAATCAACGGCAACAGACTAACTAAAATAACGGAATCAGAGGAAGAATTATTCCACTGGATGCGCGAAACTTCCTTAGGAGAAGTGGTCAGTCAATAAGTGACCACGTGATGTGGTTTCCGTGATCGGTGGATGAGTAGTGCTATGTTCTGTTTAAGTGAGAACCAATCACGTCTTGATCAGCCACTTGAGGCCGAACGGTAAAGTGTTCAACCACTGACTGGAAGTTCCCTGATTCCAAACTCTCTGAGTTTCGTGAGATCCGAACTGCTGGTGATTCCCTGCAAAGATGAAACGCTGTACACAGTGCGGCTGGGCTTTTCAGCATAGATTGGCTTCACTGACAGGATGGAGTCTCAATCTTTGATAGACGCATGGTTGTGTGAAGATGACCATAGGTGTTACTCAGGTCTGTTACAGTAGGTGTGAT